CTCGGCGAGCACATCCGCACAGCCGCAGTGTGCATGTCATGGCGAGTGAAGAAGATGACTCAGTCAGGCGACGACGATGGGTCCGTGTAGAGTCAGGAGCCGAAGACAAATGACGACGGTGACGACGGCCGGTGGTGACCGCGGCCAGGTACCGAGCGGACAGCGCAGTGGTGCCGGGCAGGGGGTTGAGCCGGGCTCCTCGGACGTGCGTGCGGCGGACACGGAAAAGGTTGATCGACCTGAGACCTGTAAACAAACGTGGGTAGCTTCGGGCGAGCTCCGCCGTCTCTGCCGCCGCAGCAAGCGAGGTCCCTTCAGGAGTCCAAGAAAATAAAGAAAGTCGTCCTTGACTTATGTACCTAAAATAAACATGATTTATGACTGGTGAGATTACAGACGTACCACGAGACATATGTGAGTTTGAATCTTAGTTTAGGAGGAGTGTTACCTCTTACATGTAAAATCACGAACGATGGAGGGTTCATATAGTACGATGTATAAATCGAACGGTTATTATAGAGGGAGGGTAAGGTCATGGATGGCGAAGAGCTCATATAGCACGATGTGTACATCAAACTGTTATTATAGAGGGATAGCCCCCCAAAAAAAAAACTCGTTCTTTTATAATGTGATGTGATACTATTACAACATATGTGTGAAAACATATGTAACATCCACATTAAAACACTTACAACATGAGTCTGAAATAAATGAAACACTTTGAACAAAAGCTTGCAACATGCCTCTGAAACACTTGCAGCATATACAACATCACGATCTACTTTTTGCAACATCCATATAAAACACTTTCAACATACCTCTGAACATTTAAAACACTTCAAACATATGTTTGCAACATACGCTTTTAGCGAACATCTCTTGCTTGGGAATGGAGGCTTGTTGGTGTGTGGAGTTCACCGGTGTAGAACTCGCCGGTGGCGTGGAGCTCGCTCCTCCGGTTGAGAAGGCTGCGGCACATCCCGTGGAGAAGGTTACAGCGGGTCCATGCACGGGAGAAGTCGCGGCGGGTGGGAGGCGCGGTGGAGAGGGAGAAAGACGGGTTGCCGTGCTCTGGCGCGGAGGAGATGTCGGTCGGCGGAGCGAAGGCGCAATGGAGAGGGAGGCGCGGTGGAGAGGGAAGCACGGTGAAGAGCGCCATTGTCGAGAGGTGTCACAGTGCTGTGATGAGTTGAGTTTTTCCTATTTTAGAACGGTTGGAGGTGAGTAGATGAGCATATAAGATGCAATTGTTGATCTACACTCATGGCCTACCATCAGCACCGTCCGGGCGGATGGACGTGCTATACTCAGCGTTACCGTTGGCGTAGGGGTTCGCCGGTTCGGGAGTCGCCAGGATGCGGCCTGCGGGCACTGAGTGGGCTGGAGTCTGGGCGTCGGGGAGCTACATGGTTTGTGCTCCCAAAAATTCTGGGCCGCTCCCTGCATAGCATGCAAGAGCCAAGACCGGGTGGGTTGGACCTGGACGGGAACACCGAGAAGCTCCGAACACGTACGGACATGAGGGCAGAGGGGCGAAACGTGTCGACCATGTCGCGGCAACTCCACTCCGGACCTGAGGCCTGAGGGTCAGGGCGGGCGGGCTCCTGTCCTACGCTGCATCGGCTCCAATCCAAGCTGGGGCGATCGAGCATGCACGCGCACGGAAGACTGTAAAGGCAGCCATGCGCATCTCTAGCAAGCAAAGTGGAGCGAAAACACCGCAGATCTACAGCAATAGTGCAGTACTGCTAGTAGTGGAAGACTTGCGACGACGAGGAGGCAGCTCAGGACAAGACAAATTAAACCAACTCGCCGGCTGTTGTTTTCTGTCCTACTCACTCGTGAAGCAGGAGGCTGAGCTAAAAGCGCGCACTTTGCGCGCCGACCAGCGCCTCCTCGCCGGTTCCTGTCGCCGTCGCTGGCCAACACCACCCGAGACTAAATTACAGCCCGGCCGGTCCCACGCTGGGTTACACCACACTAGTACGTAGATTAGAGCTTGCTTTTGCAATCACACAGTGCTGTGTCAGTGTCAGTGTCAGTGTCACTCGTCTTCTTCGCCCGCAAGGAAGCTATCGATATCCATCGGTGCGCTGCCGAGCGGCCCACTTCCGCCACGCTCCGATGCCCGTCGTCTGAGCGTATGGCCGGGAACGGGAGGGAAACGCTGGCGGCCGAAGCAACGGCGGCGAAGATGAGCCAGTCGATCGATGCTGGTGTGTGGTGTGCTTGATCCAGGCCAGACACGCTAGCTATCCAGCTAAACCGCCGAGCCGGCGCGGGACGTGCACGGTGCACCTGGGCAGAACCGTCGTGTTCGGTGCCCCCACTGCCCACAGAACCGCATGCAGCCAGTCCACGGCTGCCGGTGCACGCTTTATTTCCCGTCGCGCTGGCTCTCATCTCCGGTCCGTTCTCACCACTATGGCCTTAGCGCCTAAGCAAAGATGGCTTTTTATTTCTCGGGGCTCTGTCACCCAATAATACAAGTGCAACGAGCCTTGGCAACTCCTAAGCGTGGCGGCCTCTCTCTCTCTCCATCGCCTATATAACCACCTCGAGCACGAGCACTGAAACGCCTCCATGGCTCGTGGCCTTCGTTTCTCACCTCAGCTTCTTCGTTCCTAGCTACCTTCTGCTTCGTCAGGGTATAGTTACACCAATTCACACCCTAGTCGCGTCATCTCTCAGGAGAGCTATTAGCTAGGATTTCGTACTCCGAAGCAACTGTTAATTAATCTTGCAGCTGTGTTTTGGAGGCAGTTCTCTGACTACCTAGGGGCCGGCCGGAGCTGGAGGAGTCGTGGGCGGGGGCGCATCACCGGTCCGGCACCGACATGCGCAGAGCGTCACCGTGGCAGTCCCACCGCAGCAAGCGCGCACCGTTCGACGACGCCGCCCTCTCCGCCGCCAACAAGCTGCCCTGGCCGTCGCCGCGACGCCCGGCCAGCCATGCCGTCCTCCTTTCTGACCTCTCCTTCCTCTTCCGCTTCGTCGCACCTCTCTTACCTGATCCCTGCTAGTGCTAGGCCGCCTCCCCTTGCCATGGTACGTACCTTAGACATCACAAACATCCTCCACCGATCGTAGCATATACCCTGATATATATATCTTCCACTCAGACATGCACACATGACTACATGAGATGACTCGATCGCGGTGTGTTCTTGTTCTTGGCAGGGACAGGGATACGGTGGTGCCACCGGTGGCATCGGTGTGCCCACAGGTGGCGTCGTGGCGACGAACGCCCTGAATGCCGCGGCGGCGGCGCTTCCGCCTCCGAGGCAGCAGGGAGGAGCCAGGAACGCGGGCGCGGGCCACCCGCCGCTGCCGCGCCCGCCGCCGCGGCAGTGCCCGCGCTGCAAGTCCGCCAACACCAAGTTCTGCTACTACAACAACTACAGCCGCGAGCAGCCGCGGTACCTCTGCAAGGCGTGCCGCCGCCATTGGACCGAGGGCGGCACGCTCCGCGACGTGCCCGTCGGCGGCGGCCGCAAGAACAGGCGCGGCGCCAAGGGCAGTGCGAAGGCGTCTGCCTCGGCCGCGGCTGCTGCGACGCAGGGCGGGAACGTCCTCGGCGTCGGCGCCGACACGTTCCCGGACCTGCTCCGGCAGCTGGTGCAGTTCCCGTCGGCCGCGGCCGTGGGCGGGGGCGGCTACGCCATCGACCTGGGCGCGTGGCGGCAAATGTCCGCGGCCACGGCGCCACCGCCGCAGGGGACCGGCGATGCCAGCACTCTCGGAGCAGCGGGGGCGGCAGCGGAGGCGGAGGCCAACTCCGTCGCCTTGCAGTACTGGAGCGAATGGCAGCAATACGGCATGCCCGGCCTTGATGGAGCTTGCTAAGTGCGTACCAGTACTACTACATATAGACTACAGTAGAGCTTGTGTTAGTACATGTTCCTGCCTACTTATATACGCTTATATGTGTGCGTGTATTGCAAAACGTACGTACTAGTACACGATCAGCTTGTTTTCTCTACTTTTTGTGTGCGTATTATGTGTTCTTAGCTAAAACTGTGTGCATGCTAATAATACTATGCTATATGGACTATGGTCCAATCATCCTACTGCCAAGGCAAATTTCACCTTGTTTGTTTAGAGCTTGTTTAGAATACAGGAATTTCACATAAATCATGCAATGATTTTATAAGAATTCGTTCAACTTTACATGAAAAACATCGCAATAGAGAGAGAAAAAAATGTTGTGTTTCAAATAGGATCTGAGTTTTGAACCTTACAAAATTGTAACCTTATTTTGTCACTATCTTCGTCCTAGAATAAATAACTTCTAGAGTTGTTCTAAGTCAAAACATTATAAATTTGATAAAATTTTATAAGAAAAACATCAGTGCTTATGAGATGAAATTATTATCACTAGATACATCAAGAACTATATTTTCATAATGTATTTATTTAGTGTTATAGATATTATACTTACACTTCCCTATAAACTCAAACTTTTCAATAAAATTGATCAAACTATGATAGTTTATTCAAACTTTTCTACTATAAAATTGATCAAACTAAGATAATTTATTCAAACTTTTCTACTATAAAATCTGGTACAGGGGAGTACTATCTTATCGGATTTTTTTTTCAGGCACTTGCTCCGGCATTCCCTCCCTTTTCATGCTACTATATATGCTTTGTCCATTGGGGGTCAATTTGTCAACCAATTAAGTAGTCCTTTTATCCGGCATTCCCTCCCTTCTCATGTCTATGATGATACATTTCAACAATATTTTCCATGTGCGTATACAAATCTACACGTCCAGTAAAAAGCACCGGAAAATACGTACTAGGAAAAGTAGACATAGCAGGCACAGCACAGGAAATTCCCATTCAGTAAGGACAGGCTGGCCCTGGTCCAGCACCAGCAGCCATCCTTGTACATGAGTTCAACTCGACATACCAGCCGAACAAAAATATATGCAAAAAGCTAACGCACATATATAGTTGCTATCAAAACTGTTACTGCAGAGAGACAGGCAAATCTGTTACAACGCGGTCATGCCGATGGCGGCTTCCGGGCGGTGGTAGTGGATCCGCGCCTTGGAGAAGTAGTAGTAGTAGTAGGCCGAGGTGAGCACGCAGGTGAAAAGGGCAAACGCAGCGCCGGCTCCAAACGTGCCCCTCCGCACGGTCTCGCAGTCCGGCGGGTTCTGGAAAAAGACCGTCCGATAGCCAGTGTGGTAGGCGGATTGCAACAGACCAGCCAGCAAGCACGCCTCAGCGATGACAAATGTCACCCTGTGTGTAGGACAAGCAAAGGTTAGTGTCCTGGACAACTTGTACGCGTATTCACTGGGGTTCTGAATGGTTCTAGTGCCAGCAAATCTAAACAAGACAAAGTCAGGAAGTAACCAAACATGCCGTGTTTCAAACACCAGAGGAACACGAAAACTTGGATAAAACCCCTTTTCTTTGGATAATAAACCAGACAGTTCAAAGGAAAACAAATCAACTTTGGTAATCTAATTATTCCAGAAGTTCAGTCAAAAAATGATTCCAGAAGTCCCCAGACAAGTCACATTTGCAAATGCCAGCTAAACAAAATGACAAATTATAAATAGTAACATCAGAAGGTCAGTATTAGGAACTTCCACAAGTGACGTTCTTTATTCCTGACCCATCATGAGATACATGCAATCCTATTACTACATAATACTGAACAGCTACAATAAATTTCATACCAGCATGGTGGCAGCAAGTCAGCAACCTCATGTTTATGCTTGAACGCCATGAATTAGTACAACCCCGCGCGCCTGGCTAGTTAGTTATACTTAATAGTTTCACTTCATGGAAGACAAAAAAGCAAACAACTCTGGAAGAATTTACAAATGCTGATAAAACATAAACTCGGGCAGAGTTTGGAGTTCATGCAGCCATAAATGAAATGAATTCTTACTACTCCGCGTCTTTATCAGACAAATTAAACACGGGCTGAATTTGGAGTTCATGCACATATAAATGATGTGAATTTTTACTGTTCCACATCTTTGTCAGACGAATTAAGGAAAATGGTTATATTACTAGATCAGACTTAGAATACTCCTAAGAGATATCCTAGACCCCACAAATCAAAACATGCAGTCTTCTGAGCGAATAAAGCCTTCATTGACCCAGTATGTCCTTAACCAATATGACATTGACCAGGTCATCTTTTTTCAACACCAGTAAACTTAGAAGACGGCAACCAAGTTTTATGGTCTTTTTTATTGTCAATGACATAATCTCTCAGTTCTGACCAATTCTGTACAATCAGACAAAGCTGAAAAAAGGCTAGAGTACAAGCTTCTACTAAACAATTTCTGCATTTTAATTTATAATTGAGCAGGCAGCACACTTTAGATTCCACTGGAGCCGACACTACACTACCATTCCAATAATTATGTCTCCAGAACCATGTGCAAAATACAAACGTTAATGAACAGATCTCCTGGCAGCTACCATAAAACATTTTACCTAGAGTTATATACAAACTAAAATTCTCAACAAGAAAGTATCATGTTTTTTGTCTACAGAATTTATTTGTTAACCTTGGTCGCTAGTAAATGTGACGAAAACATGAAAGAACACATGGACCACCTTCAAAATCCAGTAAACTCTGGTGCCCTTGAAAAAAATGGCTGAATACCTTAGCAGCTTTCACGTTCACGAGAGAGAAAAAAAAAGGACAACCAGCTGTTTTTGTAATAACATATCAAGGAGGCCACTAGTTGCTGCCAAGCACATTCGACAATTTTTCATCATTTTCTATATGTGAAAACAACATTTGTGCAATCGGAATTATGTTTGCCACCAAGTGCCAGCGAAATTGTTAACACTGTATACTGTGGTTCCCAAATATTACTGCTACAGCGCTCATGGAACAACCATCTCAGCTCGAACAAATCACATTACCACCGTTGATTTCCGGCAAGCCTCAGAACTAGTCAATAGTTCTGCTGAGCGACATTGGGCAGCCGTTGATTGATCCAACACGCTTTCCTACACACACAGCTCTTGACTTTATGGTAGCCCAACATGGACAGCTAAAAAAAACCGAGAACGCAATACAGACCGAGATGCCACCGGCGGGTGGGGGCCCGCGCGTCAGCCTCACGCGGGAAGTCAAGGTGGCGAGCTGAGCAAGGGAAGAGTTTGGGGGAGGACAGGAGAAGATTAGGATCGGCGGGGAAGAATTAGTGGTACCAGGAGGAGAGGAAGAGGACGAGCGCGCAGGCCCGGGCGCCGCCGGGCCGCAGCGCGGACCCGCAGCAGAAGCAGCGGCTGGCGGCGGCGGCCACCGCCTGTCCCACGAACAGGAGCGCGAGCGCGGCCCCACCCAGCGCCGTGGCGGCGTCGGTGCGGTACACGCAGTAGGTCCACTCCTGCCGCGCGTCCGTCTCCAGCCTCGCCTGCAGAGCCGGGACGGCAAACAAGGAGAAGAGCGGTGGCGGCGCCGGCACCCGCGTCAGAAAAGGGGAGAAAGAAAACGCAGGTAGGAAAGAAAGACGGCGGCAGGAGGAATGTACCGAGGGGCGGCTCTGCATGGCGCCGATGGCGAGGCCGAAGGCGACGAGGTCGACGAGCAGGACGGCGGCCAGCACCTTGGTGGAGCCGGCCATTGGGTGCGGTTTGCGAAAAGGCGGGGACCCGGGGAAGGCTTTGGGCTGGTGAAGTGGCGATGGTTCCCGGATTTCAGACGGGCGGAGCGCGTCTTGTCGCGGGTGCTTTCGCGGTTTGGCTACTGGCTGATTGGCTCGGCCGGCTCGGGCGACCGGGGCCGGGACAAATGGGAAAGCAAGATCTCGTGCACGTTGACTGATATAGTTGCCGATTTGCCGTCCGTGGTCGATTTTTTATTTGGACAAAGCCGTCCCTGATCGTTGATTGATGGGGCCTTCATCTCGTTATAAAGGTACTCAATCCGTCTAGAAAAATACATGATTCTTATTTTTCAACAAATCAAATTGTTTTAAGTATGATTAAATCTATATAAAATTATTGGCATTTACGATTTTGAATGAATATTATTATATTAACCGTTAAATATATAAATTTTGATACTTTTTCTTCTATAAACTTAGTTAGATTTAAAATTTTAAGTTGTTTTAGATCTAGAATTACATTTTTTTAGATTATAAGGTGATGAAATAAAAAATATATACTATTTTTTTATCAATAATGTATACTGGTTTTTGTTTAGAACATTAAATTTTCTAAGATTATGAATACACCAAAATAACAATTATAAAAAATCTTAAAATATTATAATTAGAAAATCATCTGAAATGCAAATTCATAAAATCAACGCGTCCTAGCTAACTCATTATACTTTTATCGACGTTTGTCAGCAACATATATTCTCCGAGGGCATGTTTGGAACACATTCACATGAATTAGTTTAATTTCATAAAAAAAACAGAAATGAGGAAAAAAATCCCATGTTTCAAACAGACCCTGACTTTTACGTTGGCCAAGTTGTTGAATGACGAGCAACTAGACAGACCATGGTGACACCAACAAAGTCATCAGAGTAGCTCCAATGTAACCTGAAAATCTAATCGTGAGCTGAGAAAAGTCAAAAGCGTGCACGGATCTGACTACTCCGTATATAAGAAAAAAAAATTAGAGTAGCTGACAGAGAGAAAATAATCAAAAAAAAAAGAAAAAACGTACAGCCAAATAAAATAAAAATGTTTATGAGAAAAAGAAATAAACCAGCCCAAGAAATACAAGTCAAAGTGGAGGTAGAACCCCTCTACAGCGTTCGAATGGAGCATAGAAAAAATGGACTGAGCATTGCCCTGGGAGCTGCAGGATAAGAAGAAAAAGAACATCGAATCTACTCCATCCGTCTTAAATTATAAGTCATTCTAATAATTTTAAAGAGGCAAAGTTTTTCAAGTATGACCAAATTTATATAATAACATAATAACATTTATAATATCAACTAAGTATCATTACATTCTTCATTAGTTATATTTTCCTAGTATATACCTATGATGTCATAAATCATTGTGTTTTCTCTATAATTTTGGTCAAACTTGAGATGCTTTAACTCATCAAAATTCTTATAATGACTTATAATTTAGAACGGAGGAATACCTCAAAACTAGACCCGCATGAAATGAAATACATAATATCGGGTTCATAAACCCGGGGTCCCTCATGGACCTGCTTCCAGCAAAAGCTCAGCCCAGCAGGCGACGTCACAAATGACGCGCAACTCCCGGGCCGGCCCAAAAACCTAATGATAGGCAAGAAGGACAACGCTCGCTTCCGACTCCGGCCCGCCTCTCCGACCGAAAGGCCTGGCCAAGGAGGAACGACGCTCGCTTTCGACTTCGGCCCGCCTCTCCGACCGGAAGGCCTAGCCAAGGAGAAACGGCGCTCGCTTCCGACTTCGCCCGCCTCTCCGACTGGAAGGCCCTTCCGACTCTGACCCACGTCTTCGACCGGGATGCACCGAACCTCTGCTTACAGCTCTTCTCCGACTGGCGCAGTCGGAGCCGACTAGGACCAACCGACCGAGGACGCCTGCTCGGTGAGGACCCGGGAAACGGGTGGAGCAAATAAAGCAGGACGCTCAAGTCAGCCGCAATATCAAGGACCATACCCTAACAGTACCGACAGGGCATGTCAGAAGGATGCCCTGCCACCTTCTAGGCATGTCAAAACCCAAGCAGTGTTGTGGCCGCCGACGTTTGCCCTACAGTGTTGTGGGCGCCATCAATTCCCATACCAGGCGAACACAGTAAAACCCCCCACATGCCTCTGGGCAACGACAGTGTTGTGGGCGCCGTCATTTGCCATGCATGGTGAACACGATAAAACCTCCCACATGCGTCTGACATAAACAGTGTTGTGGGCGCCTACAATCATCTTGTACCCGATGGCATGGGCAATAAGACTTAGTAGCATACATACACACTCTCTCTCTCACACTTGTAAGGCCATCCCCTTCATCTATAAAAGGGGATGCGCTCTCTCCTAATACGGATGATTCGAACACAGACGATTGATTCGAACAACCACCAACGAATTACGGACGTTCAAACACTTAGCGCACAGCGAGCTCCGTCACTCTCGGCCCTTCGATCCGAGTCCGACCGGACCTCTCCCCCCATCTTACTCCCTCTCGTTTGTAACACCACAGCAAACTTCGAGCACTTGGGCTCAGAAATAAAGTCACCGACCGACTCAAACTGGACGTAGGGCACGTTGCCTGAACCAGTATAAACCCTGTGTCATTGAGTGCTAGGCCACATCCGATCACAACGTACGGCAAAACTACAAATATTTACGTGTTGGTCACTTTCTGCACCGAGTAGCCACCGACACATAAACACTACCGCCTCTGTTCCAAATTTTGAGTCTCTTTAACTACCTAGATACATAGTTTTTAGTTGTATATCTAGAGATAATGCATATCTAGATATACTTAGTAAAAGCTAACTCAAAAAATAAAAGTACTTACAATTGTTAGAGGGAGTACTTCTCAACAATTGTGCATGAGCACGGTACAAAGGAGCCAACAAATTTTTTTATACATACTAAAAGTATATCCGGCACGTTGCTACGGGATTCTAAAAAATAAGCATATATAAGTAAAATCATGTTCGTGTTCTTACATCCATCGATTCTTCCAAATTTGGAGTCCCTTTGACTGTCTAGATACATAGTTTTTATTATGTATCTAGACATAAGTTATATCTAGATATACTTAGTAAAAGCTATGTAACTAAAAAGCCACTTTAACTCATTTATGTGGTCTAAAACTTTTATGTAGTTGTCTAAACTTTAGGTCTTTTATTTGGAGTCTCAAAAGCTAAAATAGTTTAAAGTTTAATTTAATAACTAAACTTTAGACCATAGGATCCAAACAAGATATTAATTAATATAATACATGCTAACCACCTTCGGACCTTGGATCTCCAAAGAACGGCTCAGATGTTGCCTCAATTTTCCTCTCGCAAAACAAAAGTATATTATTTTCACCAACTTTGTGGGCTGGTCGGTATTCTGACACTCTAAGTTGGGCTGGGTCGGTATTCTGACACTCTGTCATCGTATGTGGACCCGTTTTCGAACAAAAACACTAAAAAAAGGGGCGCGGGGTTGCCGCGCCAACATGCATATAATGGATTGGACCCATGTTTAATTTGTGTTTGCCCCTCAAGGGATTGTCATAAAATAGGTATTAATCGTCGTGTACAACGTAGGTTCATGCTCTCTCCATCTCAAATTATCTATCGCTTTTGGTTTCCATGCCACAAGTTTGACTCGATTTTTAGAAAATTCGTGCAACATTTGTATCTCTAAATAAATTTATTAAAAAACTAGATTCAAAGATCATTCCAATAATACCAGTTATGTACCATAAATATTAATATTTTTTAATATATATTTTGTTAAAGTTGTTTCTCAGGAAGCGAAAACGACAGATATTTTAGGACGGAGGGAGTATTTTGCACATATGTTAGCACGGTGGCGTTTTTTTGCTAGTTGTATGAAACCAAGAAATACCATGAGGTAGCAGAAGCAGTGTTATTGTGGAGACAACAGACGACCATGCTACACTGATTAAGTATGTCTTTAACAAATCATCAATTGGCCAGAGAAAAGCGACCATGCTTAAATGTTCACAACTTCTAAGTGTTATACATTGGATATGGCTTAGTACATGGGTGCAAGCAGACTTAAACACTCATACAATAATAATCACGTGAATCATTAGAGACTGGGAGATACGTGAGGACGATAAGAATCAAGAGTTGCATATTGAAAGGATCTAGCAAGTGGCCTAGAGGGGGTGAATAGGCTTTTTCTGAAATTTAATCAATTTATGAAAACAGTCAGAACACGGAACCTCTAGGTTTGAGCGCGAGATGTTTCGGGACTGAGCGTGGAACCTCTAGGGATTAGAGTATGAAATTGATCTACTGTAAAATTTAACGAATGAAAAATAGATCGAATGTAATACTAGCCTTCCTGGGAGTATGTTGACCTATCCAAACAGTCGGTTGGACCTAGAAGATGAGGAATTCGTAGATCGGATGCAAACCCTAAAAATCAATCCAAATCACAAGTAATAGCAACAACAACAACAATCATAGTGAACACAAGAATTTATCTCGTGGTTCAACTTGCCACAAAGGCTTGTTTACATCCCGTTGTTGAGATTAGCCACAAAGGCTATGGAGTCTCTTTCAACTTGCTCCTCTTCTCCAACCTATCACCAAGGTAATGGGTTAGAGGGTTCCACTAAGTCACAAAAGGTAATACAAACTTCCCGTGCTCAACCACAGTGGATTGGGAGCTACCGGGCGACCGCTAGCCGTCTAGGAGCCAAGCTCCAAGAGTAACGAACACACCAAGCGGCTAGGGCTTCACCAAGTGCACAAGAACAGAGGAGAAGGATCTTCTCAAGCTTTCTCACACTCTCTAGAGCCAAGTCCCACAAGGAATCAAAAAGATTTGAGCAAGGGAGTTAGGAGCACCAAGCTTGGGTGAGAGAGAGAGCTTCAGTTCGAGTCTGAGTGAATGAGGAAGAAGATGACCATTGGGGGTGAAGGGGTATGGTATAAATACCACCCATGTCACCCACAAAACGGTCTAGTCA